ACCGCCCCCCCCTGGATCCCACGGGGCAGTGATCCGCCCCCCCCTGGATCCCACGGGGCAGTGATCCGCCCCCCCCTGGATCCCACGGGGCAGTGATCGCCCCCCCCGCATCCCACGGGGCAGTGATCCGCTCCCCAAGGCACCGGAGCAGGCAGTGATCGCCCCCCCCGGATCCCACGGGGCAGTGATCCGCTCCCCAAGGCACCGGAGGGGGCATTGGTGGAGACATGGGGGCGTCTCTACCGCTCCTGGCTCCTCTCCAATTCCCTGCCCTGCTCCTCAGCCTCTCCTTGCAGCAGCCCCAGCCCAGCCCTTATCTGTCCCCTCCCAGCCTGCCCGCCCCGCGGAGCGCAACCACAACCTGCAGCCAGAGAGCCCTGCCAGGCCAGACTTCTCATCGCTCCGGTCCTCCCTGCCCCGAGCCATGGACCCTCCGCGGAGCCACATCGCTGCCCTCTGCACCCTGCTGGCCTGGGCCACCTGCACCACGCAGGAGGGAGCCGGCCCTGACAATGGCTTCAACATCCAAGGTACCAGCGTGAGCCCTGGGGGCTGGCAGTGCCCTGTGGGCTGGGGGCGGGTGAGCGGGCCCGGGGGCCAGGCAGGGGCACCGCAGGAGTGTTTCATAACAGGAAACCGATTTCCGGCCTCTGCTGTTACAGCCTGACAGCTAGTGTGTGTGTGTGTTCACGTGTGTGTGTTCACATGTGTGTGTGTTCACGTGTGTGTTCACATGTGTGTGTGTTCACGTGTGAGTGTTCGTGTGAGTGTGTGTGTGTTCACGTGTGTGTTCACGTGAGTGTGTGTTCACGTGTGTGTGTTTGCGTGAGTGTTCGTGTGAGTGTATGTGTTCGCGTGTGTGTGTTCATGTGTGTGTTCATGTGGGGGTGTGTGCGGGTGTGCTTGCACGTGCGTGAGTGTGCAGGGTGTGCTTGCAGGCGTTTGTGCTGAGTGCATGCTGGGTGTGTGCGTGCGCATGTGTGTACCCGGCTCTAGTGAATGTGGCTGTGAAACATGCTCTGGTGTCTTAGCCCAGTGTGTGGGGCGGCTCGATCAATCCCCAGACACACGTATCCCTCCAGCCGGCTCTCCGTCCTCAGACACATCTGTCCTACCGAGAGTACAGCAGAGCTGACCCATCCCCCTCTATCTATCTATCTATCTGTCTATCTATCTATCTATCTGTCCCCATCCACCTCCTCTATCTATCCATCTATTCATCCCCACACACCCCATCTATCTATCTATCCATCCCAGGGGTAGGCAACCTATGGCACGCGTGCCGAAGGCGCCACACGAGCTGATTTTCGGTAGCACTCACACTGCCCGGATACTGGCCACCGGTCCGGGGGGGCTCTGCATTTTAATTTAATTTTAAATGAAGCTTCTTAAACATTTTAAAAACCTTATTTACTTTACATACAACAATAGCTTAGTTAATATATTATAGACTTGTAGAAGGAGACCTTCTAAAAACGTTAAAATGTATAACTGGCACGGGAAACCTTAAATTGGAGTGAATAACCGAAGACTCGACACACCACTTCTGAAAGGTTGCCGACCCCTGATCTATCCCCATATACCCCATCATCTATCTATCTATCTATCTATCTATCTATCTATCTATCTATCTATCTATCCCCATACACCCCATCATCTATCTATCTATCTATCTATCTATCTATCTATCTATCTATCTATCTATCTATCTATCTATCTAACGCCACACACCCCATCTAATCTATCTATCTATCTCCACACACACCCATCCCTCCATCCAAATGCCGACATGGCCCTAACCGCCAGCGATCGGAGCATCTCCAGGAGGAGGCTGCAGTTGGGGGAAAGCCCCCTAGCAGCCCACCTCTCCGGCAGAGTTTATCGCTGATGCGCTGGCCCGTGCGCGGATCTAGGTTCGTTTCATAGCCCGGCCTAACAGGGCTGCCTTCTGCTTCTATGTAACGTTACATAGAAGCAGAAGGAATGACTGGTGACCTCCTACACGTGCGGCAGAACTAGACTTGGCCGAATTCGATGTTTATTTTGGGTCATTTGGACGGATAATATCAGTGTTTGTTCGTAAGCCTTTTTTAAAAATTAGATTTGCATTGAGCCACATCTTCACAGGTGCACAAAACTGGGGGCTTTTTTCAGACCACGGGGGGTGCCGACGACAATTATTTTCTGGCACTAGACGTTCAGATTCAAAAAGTTCAAGCTTTCTAACCGGTACAACCCAAATTGTCAATGTCGCGTATCGAAATTCACAAAGGAAACGGCCTTTAAATCAAACGACTGCCTTCTCAGGCAGTGCCCTGCCGCTCTGTACATTTGACTGATGAGCGGCGGAAACACTTTTTATCAGTTTGTGCATGTATGTGGTGAAATCAACATTTACTGATACAAATCTTCTCCTCCCAAGCCCGGGCACAGATAAGCCTGGTGGGCGGTTGCACAAGCGTGTGTGTTATGTGAAATATATTTGGAGAAACGTATAGGGTAAAAAGATGCCGTGTGTAGCTAATGAGGTCGCTGCGTATCTTTATATGGACAGGGGGGCGCATGTTCCGTGAAATAGGTTTTGGGACATATGCATGGTAAGAAGGTGCCCTGTATCGACAGCTAGGCGTGACCTACGTACAGATAGAGAAGTGTGTGTATAATTTGTGTGTCTATGTAAAAGCTGTGAGTATATGCCTCTTTGCATATATGTGTATGTGTGTAAAATGTGTGCAGAAATATGTGCATCTTGTGTACATATATACACACACACAAATCTCTATATATGTACACATATATGATACACACACATCTCACATCTATTTGTGCGATTGTGTATCTATAAAGAAAACGGGTGTCTATAGCTAAGCGTGGGTATATCTGTATACTACGGGTTTGTTTAATATCCAGCCTCTTGGAATGTTTTCCAAACTGTATTTTACGTAGTACATCTAAGCGTGTACAGAGTCTGAAACTTCCTTATCATGTGTCGCATACCAGGTTGTTTTGCACAGTCTTGGCCTAGAAGGAGGCGGGAAGGCAGAGCAACTGAAAGATAAAAGGGGGGGGGGAAGAGGGGTGACATCACGGTTGGGGGGGTTACCCCTAGATCAGGAAGAGGAGGTGGAGGAGGCATTTCTAGAACAAATAACAGAAGAATCCAAAACACAAGCTCTGGGAGTAAGCGGGGGGTGGGGCTGCACCTCCCCAGACATCGGTTGGGAAAGGAATATGGCAAGATTTCCAGTATGGTGCCGGAATATGCCGTTTGTTCCAGCCAGCGGAGGAAGTAACCGGGGGACAGGCAGTTTTGATTGATTCTGATCAGTGGGGAGGAATTGGTTGCAAATCTGAAGTTGGAAGGCGATTTGGGTGAACGTAAGAATGGCCATACGGGGTCAGACCAAAGGGCCATCCAGCCCAGTATCCCGTCTGCCGACAGTGGCCAATGCCAGGTGCCCAGAGGGAGTGAACCTAACTGGTAATGATCAAGTGATCTCTCTCCTGCCATCCATCTCCACCATCTGACAGACAGAGGCTAGGGACACCGGCTAGGTCTACACTACCCTCCTGAATCAGCGGGTAGAAATCGATCTCTCGGGGATCGAATTATCGCGTCTCGTTGGGACGCGACAATCGATCCCCGAATCGACGCTCTTACTCCACCAGCGGAGGTGGGAGTAAGCGCCGTCGACGGGGAGCCGCGGAGGTCGATTTTGCCGCCGTCCTCACAGCGGGGTAAGTCGGCTCCGATAGGTCGAATTCAGCTACGCTATTCGCGTAGCTGAATTTGCGTATATTAAATCGACCCCCCCTGTAGTGAAGACCTGCCCACCATTCCTTACTCATCCTGGCTAACAGCCATTAATGGACTTAACCTCCATGACTTTATCCAGTTCTCTTTTAAACCCTGTTATAGTCCTAGCCTTCACAACCTCCTCAGGCAAGGAGTTCCACAGGTTGACTGTGCGCTGTGTGAAGAAGAACTTCCTCCTATTTGTTTTAAACCTGCTGCCCATTCATTTCATTTAGTGGCCCCTAGTTCTTATATTATGGGAACAAGTAAATAACTTTTCCTTATTCACTTTCTCCACACCACTCATGATTTTATAGACCTCTATCATATCCCCCCTTGGTCTCCTCTTTTTTTGGTGGAAGTGATTGTGACGGGATAGATTCCATGTTTCGGGGGAAAGGAAGGAGTGAGAGCAGCAGGAACACGACAATGGACATCAAAAAAAGCAGACGCTGACAAACTCCGAGAACTGGCAGCTGAGGTCCCGTGGGAAGAAAATCTGTGGGAGAAAGGAGTTGAGGAGGGCTGGCGGTTTCTCAAGGAGACACTATCAAAGGCACAACTGTGAAGTATCCCAGTGCAAAGGAGAGATCAGGAGAACAGCAAGAGGCCAACGGGGCTCCTTCAGGAGCTCTTTAATGACCTGAAAATCAAAAAGGAATCCTACAAAAAGTGGAAACCTTCACAAAGTGTTCAGGAGGAGAACAAAAGAACAGCGCAAGATGTAGGGACAAAATCAGACAGGCTAATGAGTTACCCCTGCAAGGGCCCTATAAAGCAAGAAGATGTTTTTTAAATCCATTAGGAGCAAGAGAAAGGCAAAGGCAAGTGGAGGTCCTCTGCTTAGTGGGGAAGGAGAGCTAATAACTGATGACATCAAGAAGGCTGAAGTGTAACATGCCTATTTTGCAACAGACTGTCATTAAAATGGCTAACGGTGCCCAGGTACTTAACACAATGAATATTAACCAGGGGGAAGGACGGCAAGCCAAAAATAGGAAATGATCCGGTTCAAGCATATTTAAATAAGTTGCATGCATTCAAGTTGGCGGGGTCTGATGAAACTCATCCTGGGTTACTTAAGCAATCTCGGAACGGTTAGCGATGATCTTCGAGAACTCATGGAAGACGGGTGAGGTCCCAGAGGACTGGACAGGGGCAAACGTAGTATCTATCTTTTAAAAGGGGAACAAAGAGAATTATAGGGCAGTCAGCCTGACTTCTGTACCTGGAAAGATACTGGAACCAATGATTAAACAATTGGTAAGCCCCTAGAGGATAATAAGGACTCGCCAGCATGGAGTTGTCAAGAACAAATCATGCCAAACCAACCTAATTTCCTTCTTCGACAGGGTTACTGGCCCAGTGAGCTGTAGACAGGAAATATCTTGATTTCAGAAAATCTTTTGATGCAGTCCCATGTGACAGTCTCATAAGCAAACTAAGGAAATGCAGCTAGATGTCATTACTAGACGGTGGGGGCGCAACTGGCTGAGAATTGTTCTCCGAGAATAGTTTTCAATGGGTGGCTGTCAAACTGGGAGGGTGTGTCTGCTGGGGTCCCGCAGGGGTCGGTCCTGGGTCCAGTACCGTTCAATATTTGTATTAGTGACTTGGATAACGGAGCGGAGAGTGTGCTGATACGTTTGTGGCTGACACCAAGCTGGGAGGGGTTGCAAGCACTTTGGAGGGCAGGATTCGAAGTCAAAACAGGCCGGACAAATTGGAAAATTGGCGTGAAATCAACAAGAGGAAATTCAGTACAAGTGCAAAGTGCTTCACTCAGGAAGGAAAAATCAAACGTCTAGTGTCAGGAAGAGGAGCTGGGGGTTAGAGTGAGTCACAAAGTGAATGAGCCAGCGACGTGATGCAGTTGTGAAACCAGCTAATATTCCGGGGTGTATTAGCAGGAACGTCATATGTGAGACATGGGTGGGGATTGTCCCATTCTGCTCGGCACTGGTGAGGCCTCTGTCCAGTTCTGGGTGCTGCGCTTTAAGAAAGATGTGGACAAATTGGAGAGAGGCCAGAGGAGAGCCACAGAAATGATCAAAGGTTTAGAAAACCAGACCTGCGAGAGAAGATTAAAATCTGGGCATGTTTAGTCCTGAGAAAAGACGACTCGGGGATGGGGGGGAGGTGAGAACAGCCTTCAAATGTCTTAAGGGCTGTTACGGGGGGACGGGGATCAATTGTTCTCCATGTCCCCCGAGGGCAGGACAGGAAGTACTGGGCTTCATCTGCAGCGAGGGAGATGTAGGGTAGATATTAGGGGAAAACTTTCTAACTAACTCTAAGGGGAGTTAATCTCTGGACCAGGCGTCCAAGGGCGGTTGTGGGATCCCTGACAGGACACGAGGTTTTTAAGAACAGGTTGGACAAGCCCCTGTCAGGGATGGTCGAGGTTGATTTGCTCCCTCCTCAGCGCAGGGGCCTGGACCTGAGGAGCTCCCGAGGTCCCTTCCAGCCCCACATTTCTGTGTTTCTCTGATAGTTTATTTCTCTGCTGTACAGACATTCTGTTAAAACCACGTCTTCTCTTAATATAGGAGATGCTGCTTGCGCCTCTGTAGTCACGGTTAAGTTGAATTTTGCTCCTAAAACAGGGTTATACAGAATATATTGTTTTCTACAATCTAATATAATCTATCCCCATCCACTCCATCCATCTATCTATCCCCATATACTCCATCCATCCATCCATCTATCTATCCCCATATACCCCATCCATCCATTCATCTATCTATCTATCCCCATCCATCTATCTATCTATCCCCATCCACCCCATCCATCTATCTATCCCCATATACCCCATCCATCCATTCATCCATCTATCTATCCCCATCCACCCCATCCATCCATTCATCTATCCCCATCCACCCCATCTATCTATCTGTCCCCACACATCCTATCTATCTATCCCCATCACCCCTCTATCTATCTATCCCCATCCACCCCTCTATCTATCTATCCATCCCCATATACCCCATCCATCCATTCATCTATCCCCATCCACCCATCTATCTACCTATCTACCTATCCCCATACACCCCATCTATCTATCTATCTATCTATCTATCTATCTATCTATCTATCTATCTATCCCCACACACCCCATCTATCTATCTATCACCATATACCCCATCCATCCATCCATCCATCCATCCATCTATCTATCCCCATACACCCC